GTCCTCGTCTCTCTCTCTCTCTCTCTCTCTCTCTCTCTCTCTCTCTCTCTCTCTCTCTCTCTCTCTGTGTGTGTGTGTGTGTGTGTGTGTGTGTGTGTGTGTGTGTGTGTGTTTGTCTGGTTGTGTGTGTGTCTGCCTGGTTGCGACTCTAGCTGTCTGGTTGTCTTTCTCCCTTCCTATCACTCTATCTGTCCTTGTCTGTTTTTCTCTTTTGGTATTGGAGAGGGAGTGAAGTCTGCCATCCCCGATTGCGGTCTTGTACTTTCATATTCATGTTAAAGAAAAGGAATATTGTCATAGCAATGTGACATTTAATTTTGATGACTTTTCTAGCGTTGCCGGTTTGCCCAGAGATCTGTCCACCATCGTCAGTACCGGTCCCAGCCTGACTGTCGGCTTCACGAGTGATGGCAGTGTTACGGAGAAGGGATTCTCATTTTCTTACCAAGGTAAACACACAACAAACACTTCAAAGTTTGTAAAACTTTATCAGAGAAAAGAATGCTGTATGTACAAGACATGGTGACAGCACACTTAACACTTAACTTATATTCATGCCACTACCAACGCAGAGACAATACATAAACCTAGAAACAAGCAAGGCACAAATGTACATTAATAATTTGATACTAACAAATGGCCAAAGGTTTCCATTCCAACTAAGACTAATATGAATGTATGAATTTATAAATTTATAAAAAAAAAGCGCTTAGAATTTAAGTCATTTACCGTTAGGAATCAAGAGCGCAGAATGAGAATTGTAGATTGGTTAAAGTGATGACCGCCCCAAAACATTTTTACCTGAAATGTGTAAATATATACCTATATGATATATATTTCTTGTTCTGTCAGCGATCAAATGTGGAGGTCAGGTGACCGACTCCAAAGTGCCCATCACCAGTCCCGGGTTCGGAGTTCTGGACCGGTACCCGAACAACACGGACTGTGAGTGGGTCATACTGGTCAAGCCGGGCGCCACGGTCAAACTCACGTTCGATCAGTTCAACCTGGAGGGACCGTACTGCGCATACGACTTCCTAGATGTGAGTAAAATATCCATACACCAAATAAAAACAGTTACTCAAGCAACTGGATATGACTTTGGAACAATTACTCCAGTTGCTTGAGTAACTGTTTTTTGGCGTATCTTATTACCTGGATGTCTAAGCTTTATCGACGTAAATTATTCATAGCCTATGTCAGCAATTTTAGTTTTAGTACGATCATTTGAAAAAGGGACTGAAATCGTTTTTAAAAAAATTTCTATTGCAGTTCCAAGGTCAATCACCAGGGGCCCAAAGTCAACTTACACAATCCACTTCACCCCATCTGCCCACTGACAAAATATCATCGCATTCCGTCTAACGGATCTTGAAATATACACCAAAGCATCATCTAGACCAAAAACAGACGCCACCCACTTCACGGGGGTGAAGATTCTAACACAACATCTTTGCCTTAGATACTAGACGGGCCAAACAACAAGTCAGAGAGAATCGACAAGTACTGCGGGGACACACTGCAGGGGCAGACCGTGCGGTCCACAGGCAGCGCCCTCTACCTGCACTTCCACTCGGATCGGAGCGTCGCCGGGACCGGGTTTTCCGCAAGCTTCAGGGCGGTGTGTACTGGTGAGTGTGGTGAGTTGGGTTCAGATTAACTATTGCGCTAGTAGATAAGCTTTGAAGCTTGAGCGCAATGACATATTTAGACATTCAAATAGTATGCACTTTTTTCTAACAGCATGAGATAGCATGGCAAGAACCACGATACTTGAATAGCGCAAACAATATAAAACTCTACTCGGTAACACTGTCTATGTAAGATGCTGTGCTACAGATTCTAACAGAACAAATAGAATGTATATAAAATATACGCATGATGAATATAGTAGACATTCTACAATATTCCTCTGTATGTAAAACAAAATAAGATTACATTCATCTGTTTCTGATACGCTGGGCTTCTTCTTCATCGATTTATCACCTTGTTCCTGGCAAAGGTTTAAGGAATCGGGACACGTCCTGCTTGCATCGCCCACGTACAGTTTCTTTTCATCAATAAATAAGTTGGACATTCTCTGTTGTAGCAGCGACAGAGCCGCCTCTAGTTACGGAGGCGCCACCCCTTCCACCGACAAATGCACCACCCCCTCCAGAGACGGAGGCTCCACCCCCCGAACCAACAGAAGCACCACCCCCTCCACCAACAGAGGCACCACCCCCTCCACCAACAGAGGCACCACCCCCTCCAGAAACAGAAGCCCCGCCCCCTCCAGTGACGGAGCCCCCTCCATTGGTGGAGTGCCCGCCGTACCAGTACGCATGTAGGTCCGGCGAATGTACACACCAGCGGTATGAGTGCAACGGCACACCAGACTGTCAGGACGGCAGCGACGAAGCACGCTGCTTTGGTGAGTATCATTCCGCAAGATGGTTTGCCGGGGTAGGGTTCAGTTTCCCTTCTATTAAGTATCATAGTAACATGACCGAATGTTTTTATACTAGTTGGCTTATTATGTTTAGCACACATAAATATGATCTTCATAACAGTCCTTCGCAACCCCTGCTTCGCCTTTTGAGTCAGTAAGTCAAACTTGCCTAAAATAAGCTTGGTGTTTTCTGACTTAGGGAGAAGATATACTGCTGTAGTGAGGGTTAAACGTTAGTTCAGTGCCTAGAAGTGGCCACTGAGCAAACTTGTTAAAAGTGACGGAAAGGCTGAAGAGATGCAATTATTAGCATAAACACGAAAGTTCATCTGTGTTGGTAGTTACATGTTAAAACTTTAGACCCAACTTAATACATTGGATCTTAAGTTTTAACTTTAAACATAAACAGCGTTTATTGACGTTTTATACCTCTAGCTCTAATGCGTGTTTTATTTTCTCCAAACAGAGTGCGACCACAACATACACAAGCCTTATTACGTCATGCCGTACTACTGGGTCTGTGACGGGCTAAATGACTGTGTGGACGGGGCGGACGAGGCCGGATGTGAAGGGCCGCCCACTCCGCCTTCTGTACTAGGTACGTATCTTATCCTGAGCTTCTGTATCTGTATAGCCGGTATAACTGCCCTTCGGCGTAACACACCAGCTTCTGTATCTGTATAGCCGGTATAACTGCCCTTCGGCGTAACACACCAGCTTCTGTATCTGTATAGCCGGTATAACCGCCCTTCGGCGTAACGCACCAGCTTTGCAGGCACGCGGCGCGGCGGCAGCTGGCTACATTACACCGAATGACTTGTTACACCTAACCCTTCAACATCTATCTTTTAACATGGTTTAAAGCTATCTAATGACAATGCCCCTAGCCTACTGAACTTGATGACAGCGAGACAGCGAGATCATAGTTCTAGGAAAGAATGAGTTTTTGAACACCTTAATCCTTGGTTGATAACTCTAACTCATAAGTTGGGCTTCCACCTGTTTCAACTTGGCGCCACCTGAACTTCACGTTATTAGTTGGTCCTTACATACTACAGATGACTTTATGACTGTGATATTCTTTCCCTATGTAGAAGCCCATTGGTCCGAGTGGGGTGACTGGGGTGCGTGTTCCAAGGACTGTGAAGGCACGAGGAACCGTACCCGGGAGTGTGTGAGGTACCAGGAAGGACAGGAGTGTTTGGAAGGCTCGAACGTGCAACATGAGATGTGCGGATCCCCAGGACCCTGTACGCCTGAACCAGGTAGGGTAAAACATTAATCAAAGGTTGATGACCCGTCCTGAGGTGTATATGGTGTGATAAAGCCTTGTCAGTTGCTATAACCACCGAATAAAACCACCGAGTGAGCATAAAAAGGAATTGTGTAATACATGCTGGTGGGCAATAACACGCGAGAAAGCGCGGCGACCACCATTAGCAGAAGGCGCGGTTGACGACGCCCCCGCCCTTTGCCGTGCCGACCTTCTGCCGACAGAAACGCTTAACCTTTGGATATTTGAGTGCTATGAAATAAACAGGAGTGTTGTTTACGTTCTGATCATGTGAGGGGTCCAAAGTTCGGCAACTCTACGTATGTTGACCGGTTTAGTCCATTTCTAGTTCTCCTAGCATGACTATGCATATAATATGTATTGTCACCTGCTCGCCGTTTTGTAATTAGACCAATTGTATATGTCAACTTGCCAAAATTTGTCGAGTAAAATGTATGTACATGTGAACACGCAATTCAGCTCACGAGCTGCGATGAGTGTGTTACGAATAATAATAATAATGATACATGCTCTACAATATAATAATATTGCCCCAACAATCTTCGTCAGTCAGAAGACAAAAGATAGAAGAACACTGCAGTTCTCTTACCGTTTGGGGAAACTGGATTAAACTTGAAGATCTGGAACAGTCGGCAGTCGGACACAAACTAGAAAAGCTCTCTGAACAGCCCCCGAGCCGTCTTTAAATTTGTGGTATGGTCAACTGACTGCCCACACGTGACAACCAGCTGATTCGATGGGGGGAAAGTCCTGACTTCTAAATCTAAGATCTTCTAATGATAACTGCCCCCATGTCAGGGTCAACAAACTCTAGGACATTTCCTGGACTCCTGTCCGGTTGCCCTGAAGGACACCAGGTACACATGGCGTCATAGTCTCACAAAAACTAAAGAAAAATTCTGAAGAAAAAGTCTGAAATCTCCTATTTCTTGTTATCATGACAGTTGACGTCCCACTTTAAAGAAGCCACGTGACAAACCTCACTGGGTCAGTCTACTGAGGAAGACCAGAGTGACTGCTCTAGATGAGAGAACTTTTTTGTGTTGGATCAAAAGTTTTAACTCTAAACAAATTTCTTGTTGCTCTGTAGACAGTGACTGTGGCACCAGGGTGTTCGAGCAGGGTCGTGTCCGGATTGTCAACGGCGAGGACGCAGTGCGGGGCTCGTGGCCGTGGATCGTGCAGTTCGGGGTGACGTGGGGACAGAAGCCGTTCTGTGGAGGAACCCTCATTGATCCGGAGTGGGTCGTCACCGCTTCACACTGCTTCTACGACGAAGAGTACGTTTATTAGACTATATTCTAAGTGATTTACTCGCTTTTCATCTCAATGACGCCATCTTGGTGTCTTGATCTGCATTTTGATGAGTCGTGGCTCAAACAGTTTTATTTGGCCAGTCTGAGTGCACGTGGGTCGTCACCGCTTTACACTGCTTCTACGACGAGAAGTATGTTTATTGGACTGTATTTCTTTTACTATAATTAGCGTTTTACTCGCTTTTCATCTCAATGACGAAGCCGGTTGTGGCCGCCATCTTGGTGTCCTTGATTTGCATTTGATGAATCGTGTCTGAAACAGTTTTACCCCTGTGTTGGAATAACCATGTACTGTTTTTCTTTTACTACTAATGGTAAGCGTTTATACCCATTTCCACGAAGCAAGCAGGTTGTTCTAACCGCCATTTGGTGTCCTTGACTTACATTCTGATTGATCGTGGCTCAAACATTGGCAACTTTCTCTGTAAGGTCGGGGGAAGGTCCCGAATGTGTGACAGGGGTTCAATAATTAACAGGAATCTTGTTTCATCTTTACAGCGGGCCACCGGATGTCTCCAAGTTCACGGTTCTTCTGGGGAAACACCGGCTGCGGAGGGATCCGATGGAGGACGGAGCCGTGCTGCTCTACCCCTCCCAAATCATCCTGCACGAAGAATACGACAATGCCGAGGTACAGGCATTATTACTTTTGGGTACGGAAAGTAATCTCCAAGCAGATGGCCGCAAAATACAGTGTCAAATTGGAGAGGGAGTATCCATTGGCCAGCCAGTATCCATTGGCCACTTCGGTGGCTAATGAACACTCCTTGCCACCGTAAGATCTGCTTGGAGATTACACGAAAGTATTTTTTGGGTGTCTGTTATATAAACGTCTGTGCGGACAGAAGAGGGTGACCAGCACGTGACTGGGAAAAGATTGACAGGTAGTGAATTTGAGAGTATAGGTTGAGAGCATGTGGGAAGGGAAGGTTGTCAGGCAGAATGACAGGAATTCAAAGGGTCATTCACAGGTATTAAAATAGGAGTGAACTTGAGATTAGTTTGACAGCACGTGGGAAGGGAAGATTGACAGAATGACAGGGATTCAAAAAGGTCAGACACAGAAAATAAGGGTGAAAAAGATGGTCAAGTGAACAAAAAAGTATTTTTCGAAAGTCTTTCCTGCTTCAACACAGACGAGCCCCAAACTACAAAAAAAACGCTTCATTCGGGTGTGTGAAGTTATGGCACATGTACTACAAACCATTGGATTTTAATCAGACACATAACCAGTAAATTGTCTATCCCACAGGTGGATAATGACATCGCTTTAGTGAAAATCCCAGCAGTGGACGTGGACAACAACGACTACATCAACACCGCCTGCCTGGAGGTTCCGGATGTTGCGAATTCATCCACCCAGTTCACGTCAAAGTCCACCTGTTTCACCCAAGGATGGGGCGTCACTGAAAGTGAGTCAAACGCCTCTGAAAAAAAAAACATCAAAAGCGTTTCTTATCACCGTACTTACTGTTTTTATGTTGGATCAATTCGAACCAATTATGGCAAAACATTTGACGTAAGCCTAATCTGAAAATAGAACTTATTACATGTAAAGAAGGCATACGTAGTTTTTGGTAAATCTAAAGATTATTAAAAAAATAAAAATGTGTGTGTATGTTTGTGTGTGTGTGTGTGTGTGTGTGAGAGAGAGAGAGAGAGAGAGAGAGAGAGAGAGAGAGATGAAAATGTGTATGTGTGTGCGTGTGTGTGTGTGTGTGTGTGTGTGCATGTGTGTGTCTATCTGTCTGTCTGTCTGTCTGTGTGCATTAACACAATTAATAATACTGTACCCATGTCGTCTTGCAGACCAAACGCAGGCAGACATCCTCCAGGAGGCCCGTGTGCCGCTGATAGAAAACTGTGTTGAGGAGACGTCCTACAGGGAGAGCCATATAACGGAGAACATGCTGTGTGCTGGCTACGTCGACGGCGGGGTGGACTCGTGCCAGGTACAACAACTTATCCCTGATTTTATTTTTTACAACAAAAATTTATGAACCATAAACACAACAAAGAGTTTTGCTACTCTGGGGGGCTTTCAAGACTCACTCTGCCTCATCATAGTCTGGGTTTATGTTTGTATGTGTGTGTTTCCTTTTGCTCGTAGGTATTTAAATGAAGTGTCAGAACGGGGGTGGGGGATTTGGTTACCGCAGATTGGTCAACTTGGGAGGTTGTCATGACCACAAAAAGTCAGAGACAGGAAGTTTTGTTTTTCAGAAGCTAGCCTGGTGAGATATACGAACGTGGCCCAAATGATAAAATGTGAAACGTTAAATGAAAAAAATGTTGATTGATTGATTGATTGATTGATTGATTGATTGATTGATTGATTGATTGATTGATTGATTGATTGACAGGGTGACTCCGGTGGTCCGTTGGTGTGTCAGGACGAGACGTCCGGTCGCTGGCAGCTGGTGGGCATCACGTCGTGGGGGTTCGGCTGCGCCAGGGACGGGTACCCTGGGGTGTACGCGCGCGTCAGCAGGTACATCGACTGGATCAAGAACACTATCGAGAACAATTAGTGACGTCACAGGTCATACGTCAGCATACGGGAACTCTGGGTCTCTACCATTGTGACAGCACTTCGGCAGAACGTACTGCACCTGCGCGAAACCCGTGATGTACTTTGCATAGCACTTAGGCAGAAGATCTCATATAAGGTTGTATTCGCCAATATAAGGTAGTTTCCAAATGTTGTGTTGTAAAAGATATCCTCTACAACAGGCAAAATTCTGACGCAACGTTGACCAAAAATCCAACGAAATCGTGAAAAATGTGGGTTTGCGCACGCGCAGTACGTTCTGCTGACGTGAGCTCATTGTGACGTGTTATGATGATGACGTAGTATCTCTTTTGCAACGTTCTTTTTATTGAAATGATTCACAGACGAGCAGCCATTTTAAACAGTTCTAAAATATACTAGAAATGATGCCAGTTGCCAGATGTCAATATTAAGCCAGGAATATCTCACTGTGATAATCAAGTTTTATATTCATTTCACATATCATAATATTTTTGTATATTTGGCATTTTTGTAATTCTTGACTTTAGTATGTGATTTTTAAAGGCAGTTTTACACCAGTTGGACTTACATGCCAGTTTTTTCCAACATATTGCCCTTTTTTATGAAATACATGTAGTATGTTTTGTGTTTTCCGTTTTCATATTTTACTCTGGTTGCCTGAATGTTGCAAGTTCTTTGCTTGGTTTGTTCATATTTGACCACTTTTAGCTTATTTCGCACGGAATTGTTTTGCACATGTGTGTATAATAGGATACTACATTTGTAGTATATATTTGGTTAATAAATTACGGTTAAAGATTTTGTGTGGAGTCCTTCCGCAATATTATTCCGAAATATTAGGCGGTTGATTTTTATGCCTTAATAATTACCAGAAGATCCATTGAAAGTGACTTCACGCTCTTACGTTTTATTGCATTTTATTGAATAAAAGATTACAAACCAGTGTTCAATTTTCAGCCTTAGCGTCTACATTACGTAATATGAATGTATCAAGAATATTAAAGGTAACAAGAATTAGGAGACCTCATTTGAATTTGTATTTGCGTACTTGCACCAGCATTTGCGGATTTTGGCCTTCATTTTTCCCATTTTGGATTTGCATTTGCGGATTTTGACCTTCATTTTTCCCATTTGGATAACATGTCATGGAGGTAATGATGGTCAAGTACTAAAATGTTGGACATAGAAATAGAACTGATGGCTGGACAAAAACCGCCTAATAAATAAACAAGTGATTAAAGTGATGCAAAATGTTTCTAACGTTCGGAGCATTTACACAACATTAATCGAATTGAATATAGCTTTCTAAACTGTCATACCATGAAATTACTTACAACAAACGACATTAAAAATGATTCAATCTACAGTCCTCCTATACAACTCTTACTACATGTAGTCTTACATCTTCAGTATGCTGGTTTAATACCCTTATCTAACGACTTAATCAAAAAGAGTTACGATTGGCTTTAAATTACACATTTAACTCAACGATTAAGCTTAAATATTATGTATCGCCGCCACTCTTCACAACTTGATGAATCTCGTTCCCATACGACGTCATGATCTCGTTCCCGGCGTCCTTAGTTATCACCGGACCCTTCAGGCTCGACAGAGTCGCGGTTGGCCGCCATTTTGTCCGCGATCCATGGCAGGAATGACTGATGGTAAAACGAAACATAACATGTCAGTATAGAATCAAACGGTTTTGAGTTCAGATCCATCACATCCCTATCACATAACAATTCAATTGGTCCAGTAATGTCAATAATTATAGATACAATTACAAATTGAAGATTGTAGAAAACTCTGTAGAACACTTGTATCAAATGTCTGCTCACCTGTACGCGCGCATAGACTCCTGGGTAATTCTCGCTGGCGCATCCGTAGCCCCATGACGTAACGCCGACCAGAGACCAGCGGCCCTGGCTGTTCTGACAAACCAGCGGACCCCCCGAGTCACCCTGTGGGAACAAAAGAACATAACGTTTAGCGTGTCACAAATCTTCAGAAATAGATATCACTAATAATTGTACGAGTAGTAAGTCAACCAGAACAACAAGATCTTGAGATAATTTTGCTGGTGCTTTGTGTTTCTATATCTCTGAATTCCTGCTCCCCCTCGGTCAGATTCTAAGACCCTTGGCCTCCAGCCATTCTGCCTGACAATCTGTTCCCATCCATGTGCTGTCAACCTACACTACAGTCCAAATAAACAGATACAGAAGCCGACAGCTCAGTCACCCAAAACAATTCATCTGCTTGGAGATTAGCAAGTTATACAAAAATGAAGTTTATTTCCTAAGTCCTATAGTTTTATATTCTAAATGTAGCTTGAGATGCACAATAAGAAAATGTTGACCAAAGGAATTTTCATTCTAACCTGACAAGCGTCGACACCTCCGGCCAGATAGCCTGCACACAGCATGACGTCAGTGATTCCGCCGGCGTAGGAAGTGGGACCGTTGCAGACGGCGTTGTCAATGATCGGCACTCGGGCCTCCTGTAGAACTTCTGACATGCGACCCTCTGTAAAAAAAACACAATTAAAATCAATAATGACTTCATTGATAATAACTTCTTCGATTGTACAGTATTCGGAAGGATGGACAGTGCATTGAAGAATAGAAAAAATAAGTAGAGTTGACGGTCGGGTCTTTTCTAGGTTTTGAAAATTGAACATACTGATTTCCCTGCTTAGCATTTAGCACTTATAAGGAAGAAAGAACACACAACAATACCAGTAGGCTATTTTCTACGTGTGTGGCCATAGAAATTGGGATGGGAACCGTATTATAGCCTGAAAGGAAAGGACTACAACTTGGATCAAAACAGCCCACATTGTTTCCTCAGACTATGATGTGTCAGTGGAAGAGAATTATTACGTTACAGTGGCGCCTTGCTGCGGACACCAAGTGCCACTGCAGCTTACATTTCATTCACAGTTGACTTGAACTTTCTTGTTGACTTACCCTCTGTGACTCCCCATCCGGTTGTGAAACACAATGATGATTGGTCGAACCTCTCTTGAGCGTCTGGTAGACAGGCCGTGTTGATATATTCAGTAGGGAAATTCACTGGTGGGATCTTGATCAGGGCAATGTCGTTGTTGATCCTGCGAATGATAGGTTAGGATAAGTTCAAATGTTACCTTGACCAATCAATCAAATAGTAATATTGTTGACAACTCTTTGTCCTCGTGATCATACGCTTCTATTAGATAGTACTATTATTGTTTTCAAGTAATCCGTTTTGTTTTTAAACCTAAGAAACAAGGATATAAGATTAACAGTTAAAACGTCTGTTGCTATGCAAATCAAGGACACCAAGATGGCGGCCAGCACAAGTGACTCAAAACGCTCTATATGCAAAGATCCAGATGAAGCTCACCTATGGGGGTCGTAATCTTCCTTGATGAAGAACTGTAGAGGAGTGACCACGATGGAACCTACGTCTATGGGAGGGGTGCGCAGAGTCTGGGCTCCAATCACGACTTGAAGATCAGTCGGGCGCCAGCTGCATTTTTTTGAACACCGCTCTTGTTAATTCACATTCACAGTTCAATGCATTCTAGCCTATATATACACTTTCTAAAATGACGATCTGTCCTGATCATATCTCGTATTATCTCGTATTTTCTTTTTAGAGCAGGAACTCTAATTATGACACATGTTGCCTTAGATGTTTTAACAACAAATACACATGTATTGCCTCATCAAAAACATTTGTGAACTAGAAAGGTAACATTTGCAAAGCAAATCCATAGAATGTTTACCTTCGCATATGGTCTGCTCTGTTAGTTCTTACTTAACGCATTCATATATGATCAGACAGGAGTTTAAATCCCTCATTCTATAAAATTGCAACAAAAACCCAACACGAGTTACCATGGTGACAGACGGGCATTGACCTTTTTGGTTTGGAGAAGAAGAAGAGGAAGAAGAAGAAGAAGAAGAAGAAACAGAGCAAAAACAATATGTTTTCCTTCGGTAAAGATTAAATATCACTTTTATTGTTGATAAAACAAATACAAGGTGAAGAAATAAAACGTACTTGAAACCGTGGAAGCAGTGAGCTGCAGACAGGACCCACTCCCTGTCAATCAAAGTGCCCCCGCAGAAGGGGGTGGTGCCGGATCCTCGCTTCAGCTGCACCTGCCAGGGCCACGCCCCCCGCTGAGCGTCCTGACCGTTGATGATGCGCTCCGGGCTCCTCTCTGATTGGCGGGTTCCGCAGCCGATTTCTGATTGGATAAAGGATAGGAGCATGTCATTGGTCAGACGACCTGTTACAGTGGAACACTATCCCACCGCTGACACCATTCCTAGAGATGCAACTTACTTCTGCATCTGTATCTGTATAGCCGGTATAATCGCCCTACCGCCCCTATAGTTGCTATAATATCACTTGACATGGACTTACGTGGTTCTGGAGTACATGGCCCGGGTGTACCACACGCTTCGATCTGTACGTCATTTCCGATGCAGGTGATCCAAGATGGCGCCCCTTCCGGTATGATGCAGGTGCGCCTGCGCTGTCTCGTCCCCTCACACTCAGCAGAACACTCGCTCCACTCCGACCACTGGGACCACGTAGCCTCTGTGGGAAAAAATCATAAGTCAGTTTATAACTACATGTACTTCATTGCAGTCAGCAATCATGATGCCCAGTTCTAAAAATGGTGGATGTAACAGGATGAGCCTCTCTGTTTCGCCAATGTAGGATTCCTGGCGGGGACCTTGAAGTCATTGAAGGCTAGGATCTAAGAACATTCACGACCAAGTTCAGCTAGTTTAGAAGTGTCCCAACACATCCACATAGTCTACCAGATACCTTTGACCCAGTGTTGACGTCACAGTTCAAAGAAGCCACGTGACAAGCTTCACTGGGTCAGTCTACTGAGGAAGACTAGAGTGACTGGTCGAAAGCTCTAGGTCAGAGAACTTTTTGTGTTAGATCTAAAGTTTTGACTTTAAACACTTACCGAAGACTTGATCGTCTCTACAGTTTGACTCGTCCGCTCCGTCATGACAGTCGGTTATCCCGTCACAAACCCAGCTCTGCGGCATCCTGCTCGGCTTACGCTTGTCTGCGTCACATTCTGAAGGAATTAGAACAGGGTTATAATCAGACACTATTCTGGGTTGGCTCGAAGAACGTACCGTTAAATTGCCCTACAACTTTTCCTGAACATGTGGTTCTGGGTAAGGCTATTTGAATCAACATTTTGATATAGAGTAAAAAATATATAGAAGTTGGACAAAGTAAAAATCACATGAACAAGTATAAGTTGCTGCTCTTTTATATAACTTGAATGTACCTATCTTTAACACCAAATCAGGTGATCATGACCCTATTACAATTAGTTTTGCACAGTATTGAAACTGAGAGGTATGAAATAATAGTATGATTAAGATAAATGTGTCTATTAATGTAATTGATATTTTGTTATCTAATACATTTATGTTTTGCCGCCAAACTACTAAATTGAAATAAGTGAACTTACGGAAACAGTTGCTTTCGTCACTTCCGTCAGCGCAGTCCCTGACGTCATCGCACAGCCATTTCCAGTGGATGCACTCACGTGATAACGGGCATGTGTACTGGGTACATTCAGCAGGGGTGTGGGCTGTAGGGAGAGGTGTTCAACAATGTTAACAACGAACTAGAAAGGTAACATTTGCGAAAATGTTTACCTTCGCATACGGGAGATGCTCTGTTAATTCTTACTCAAATACATTCATATATATGAGACAGAAGTATAAATCCTTCCTACTATAAAATTGCAACATTATGTAACCCAACACCAGTTACCATGGTGAGGACAACAACTTAGGTCATCGACCAGATCAGAGGTCAGTATTTGGAGAAGAAGAAGAGAAAACGTAGCAAAAACCATATGTTTTCCTTCGGTAAACATAATCACAGAGATTTCAGACTTCCGGGAATTATTGCGCGTTTTCGTGAAGCTATTGGAGCTGTGGAGGGATTTCATATAATGTAATATCATCGGGTATTACACGACTAAATTCAATACATACATCCGTCCAGTCTGTTGCCCCCCTGTTATGTGGCCTGATGCAAGGTCCGGAATCCAAACATACACACATACCCTACATAAGCGCCACCCAAAACAACACTTCCGTCCCGATGGTAATTATTAGGGAATGAAATACAACACGATGGCACGATATTTACCTGTGGTATAAGTTGCAGTGAAGCCCTTTGAGTTGATGCTGTAGTCACTTGTGAACACGACCAGCATGCCTCGCGGGTTTGTACCGGAAATGGGATCAGCTGGAGCGGTACTTCCGGTGAGCCTGAAGATATCACGATTAAAGTTATATAAATATTACATTACTGTATGGTCTTATATGGGTACAATTTATGACAATATGCGTAAATATTACCTTTTTTACAAGATATTGTGTTTACTTAAGTAGCCATTTTTAAAGTTACTTTGGGAAACAACAAATAAAAATCAAACAAAACTGTTATATTAATGCAGTTTTGCACTTTTACTCACAAAATGTATTGCCATTAAAAGAGATTTAAAAAAAAACTTAATTGTTGTCGTTCAATCTTGGAGCAGTAAGTAATTTAATTCCTAACTCACTTTCCAAGGAGAATATCATTTTGAGTCAGGCCATCGTAGATAGACACGTGATCGTATCCGTTCTCTGTCTGTAATTCCTGGAACTGCAGTGTGACTGGCCCGCCGCTAGGGGGCATGATCCGCCACTTGCAGTCTGAGGTGTCTGGGTAATTGCTCGGGTAGTTGGGTGACGTGAAGGTCCCGGATGGAGCAGTCAAGTCGCCACCGCAGGCAACCGTATTTTTCCCTAAAAGACAAATATTTCACTGTTTTAGCGGGGGGGGGTTCAATAAAGTTTTCCCTCAAACACATATCTCTCTAGATTAGATAATATGACTTTTTTTTTTTTACTTTTTAAACTGTAAACAGTTTCTGTTCTATAACAGTGTAAACTTATTTCTCTAACCGTGCAGGTAGATAATTTCCGAATCGTAGTATTTTCTCATTATACCCAACGGTACAGCAAATAATATCATTAAAATCAGATTTTTACCTCCATCTTCTCCCGCCCTGGGCGCCTTGGTGGGAGTCTGGGTTTTCTGGCTCCTCTTGACGATCAACTGCCGGACGACCTCCTTCAGAGACTGTCTCTTTTTTCCCGCCTCCGCCATGTTGGTTACCATGGCAACGCCTAACGCCATCAACAACACCACTGTCACAAACTGCATCTTCTGTCAAGAAAATGAAAATCATTAATCATTTCTGTTTCTTTGGACATAAAAACGCCACAATTTTTTATGGTAAAAAGTTAACTACTTGTTGTTGTTGCAAGGCTCTCAAAGTGTTTTACAATTAATTAGAAGTACTAATAATTTGTACATACCAACAAGACCTAAGACAAATAGATTTTTAAGACAAGTGTACGCTTTTCACAAGTTCAACCGGTTGAACCGACATGATCTTGAAGTGCATGAATTTGTATCGGCGGTTACACGATGACATTCTGGAATTGTACACTTTCAGAACCTGACAGAACCCGGCCTGCCTTTTGAAGTATAGAGAATTCTTAGATAATAGTTTATGCACAATGGAGAAGATTATTGGTGACTTGTATCTGTACATTCATGAAGGGTAACGTAACGTTAGACATCTAGATCGAACCTTGCAGTCTGTAAAATAAACCAAAGAATTGGACCTAGAGGCGTTTGGCACGGACCTGTTCCGTGGATTTTACCTACTTTAGTTGTCCAATCAAAAGTCATCAGTGAAAGACATGCAATGATATTTCAGGGTGGCAAGACTGGATTTTCAACGTCAATTTTCTGGTGATTTTTTTTAATATGCGAAGTTTTCAATTTTTTTCAATTTTATTAAGAACAGTCAACATAGCAGGGGTACGTAGTACTCCTGAATTGTGTGGACTTTACATAAGTGCAAGAGACGCACAAGGCAATTACATACAAAAGTGGGACATGAAACACTAGAATACTAGTTGAATCAATCTTATCCCATAGCATACTGATAATTTGTGTCGTAAGATGCTTCTAGCTGTACCACCCAAAAATAAAGAGAGGGGAAGCTATTTCAAACGTTTCGAGTGTGACATTCAAGGCTTTGAGCCTCAGAAATGCATTTACTGGCAGTCTCTGGCTAGTTCAAGCTTCAACATAAATATTGGTTGCTTTCAAAGTTCGTAACCATTGCAATATTTGCAACAGAAGTCCCCTCACTACGCCCCGACAAAATATATGAACCGCTACCTTTACAAAAACGTATAACTAAAAAAAAAAGAAAGAAACACAAAGTTACAAAGCTTACGATCACAAATAGGGAAGTAAGCAAACAAAACCACTCACCTCCGATGTCTTCCAACCTGCCTCGGGAGGAACTCAGCTCAGGAATGGAGACAACTTAGTTCTGCTTCTCTTTTATTTCACCACGTTACCCAATAACTCCATGGTAACAGAAATGCAGCTTCCATTGTCGTTGCGAAAAGTGTAAGAAAAGTCCATTATCTGACGTAAGCCCATTGTTTATTACCTTTTACGTAAGATGATCATTACAATTTACCATGGTTACGACATATGAAACCTGGACACACCCTGATTCTAGTTAGATAATTTCTAAATTTGGAAAGTGGATGAATGTGGCATTGCTACACCCACATTGTTTATGGCACCTTATTTTGAGCAGAATGTACACATTGTCGACTGAAATGTTGTCTGCTTCGGTTGTGAGTCGGCACAGATAATTTCTCCTCGAAATGTAGCGAGTGAAACTTGCCCAAAGCTTCTTCTGGTGATATTTCTCCTTTTCGATGGTATATTTTGTCGTGACATTGTGATGACCAAAGAGGTTCAATGAATACTTGCTCTGACACGAACTATTTTTGGCATTTTCGCATCATGAAGCTGGGGTGCATCGTATTATGTATGTATTGTTTTGCCGGTTCAAACCACTACCGAGTATGAAGTACAAACAAATACGTTTTTAGTTTCAACGCTTTTATTATCATCGTTACATACAGCAAACTGATATTCAGTTATTTTCTTGTGTTATATTCCATGTCATATATAAGTGTGACTAGTTCTATATTAGGCAATTTTATTCACTGTGGAGAAGAGTGGTGCATGTTACTCGAAACGTCCAGAAACATCTTGGTGATTCATCCAGTAGTAGAGTTTGAATTGTCTATGAGGGTATCATTATCGGATATTTTATGTAATATTTTACACACAAATTACTTTTAACTTACTACGTTCATAGATATCGTCTGCATGGATATACAATGCAGGTAACCATGCTCTTGTTTATAGCGAAAAGTAGGTGCTAATTTGTAATTGTTGATTAAGAAGTTTGTCTACATATCTTTTGTCAATGGCGCCGTTTTCGGCACGAACATTGCAATACTTTGTGATTTATTGTCTATAGAGACAAAAATGACAGACAACGAGGCTCTAATTGAGTCAAGAAAAGTCATCAAATTACTAATTACTGATGATTACATCATTGTGACGTAAGACATTGACGTACACAAAAGCCAGCCAGTATCATCGCTATAGCAACGACATTGCGTCATCACTATGAGACAGACCAAAAATTGTTTTGTTACATTTCACCCATACTATAGTATGAGGGAAATGTAATTGTTTTTGTTTTAAAATGTTCGAAAAAAGTCACATGTTATTTCTGCATTTACCTTACGTTGTTAGTATGTGATGCATCACATTCTACGGTAGGCTCATTTGATAAATTAACAGTGTAATTGATTAGGAAAGTTAATAAATCACCTATGTTCGATTGAATAACAGTCTACTCGACAAATAACTGCAAAAAGTATACATGCACAAAGCCATGCTAATCATACTTCACTCAATGCCATAGGCTTAGATGAAAAATATCGTTTTTCATCTTTTTTCCCTTCTCCTCCTGCAATTTCGTTAAACATAACATCGGAGGGTTAGTTTGTAACAGTCAATTTGTGTATGGGGAGGGAGATGGAGTAAAACATGCTGTATTTGCTCGCAAGAAAATGCCAGCCTTCTAGTATATACATTGTAATACTATGTTTTAACGTTTTACTAGTTTGGATAGTTTTATTGCCCGGATGGTTTGGAGAGCCTTTCGTTGTACAGTAGTTGTGAGAGTTCCGCCTGTCGTTTACGGATGTTCTGAAAAATAAGCAGAATTAGCAGCGATGAGATGTAGAATGATGTGTTTGTTTGTTTGTGTTGTATTAATGGTTACTAACAAGAGCAGTGATGCTCTAACAACATCAAGGAAAAATTGAGGCTGTGCACATATGAATACTTTATTGAATTGGTCTTTAAAAAACTGATACAACTATTTATGCATGGATCAAGCAAAAATTTTCGCTGACAGGGCAACGCCATCGTATTCATATAACTAGTAACATACTTTTTAGTACGACACTTCTACTAGCACACATGATCAATACTGAAGAAGACTACTGTTTCTTGAGAGGGGTGAAGGAAGCCATATACATCAGGGCCCATCACCCTTCATTGAACCGCGACGGGGGCCGACATCGTCTACCATGGCCAGATACCTTTGACCCAGTGTTGACGTCACACTTCAAAGAAGCCACGTGACAAGCTTCACTGGGTCAGTCTACTGAGGAAGACCAGAGTGACTGGTCGAAAGCTCTAGGTGAGAGAATTTTTTGTGTTGGACCCAAAGTTTTAACTTTAAACATGTAACTACCAACACAGATGAACTTTCATGATAGTATGATCAATAGTTTCTTTCTCGAAATATTTTAGTGATGTATTGGATATTTGACTTACCTCCACATAGATTCCTCGCTGCCACAATCTCTTCTGAGGTCATGGCGTAATTGTACAGCTGAATACAGGCTATCCGACCCACGAAGTACCGCCCGTCCCCGTCCCTCACCGCCACCCGGACCGCGCCCTCAGTTGCGACTGACGGGACTTCGGTGCGTTTCAGCCCGACGAGTTTTCCGTTGTTCCAGACGGATGCCACCCCTGTGTTACTGTCGTAGGTTCCGCCCACGTAGTTCCAAGCGTTCAGCTCCAGCACACCGGGCGCAGAGACGCCAGCTACAAACTGTCCGTCTCTTCCAACCGGCCTACAACGGAAAGTCTCTGTCATTAATGCATTGGAAAATGAAATACATTTTGTTAGCCAGTGTCCTCACTATGAGACGTACCGAAAGAAACAGATTATTTCAGACAGTTACAACAATCTCTCTATCATTTCTTCATTTAGAAGATCACCAAAAGACTACATTTCTACTAAGATCACAAAACCCACTAATTATGCAGAATGTGGGACTATTCATTATCCACTGCCTTCAAAGAAGAAGTCGAACCCCATAATAGCTAGCGTAGTAGTAGAAGTAGAGGTTTTTTCCAGACAGATTGTTACCTGTCTCCTGTTACTGTATACTTGACTGTACAAGCAATTAGCCTTCGGGCATGATTTTGCAAATAAACATCAATTATTATTAGTTTATGTATGTACCCCTGTTGTTTCTTTGCCATATATTGTACCAGCTACAGTTGTTGAGCAATAAAGTTGATTTGATTTGATTTGTCATGTTTCAATTGTCAAGCAGACAAAAGAGCAAGGACACAAAATGGACAATGTACCATTTTAATTTTGAAACTGTTTGAAACCATACAGTGGGTGCGGCCAAATATCCTGCTTCCCTCGCCCCTGATTATTGTCTATAACATTTCATTAAAGACCTCCGTACATTGTAAACAGGTAAACGCGCTTCTTGAAGATGATTATAAACCTGAGCTGGGTTATTATTCTTAAAGTTGCTGTATCTGTATCAATGTAGCCGATATAAACGCCCTTCGATTCGGCGTAACACACCAGCTTCGCAGGCACGCGGTGCGGCGGCAGCTAGCTATATCACACCGAACGACCTGTTACACCCAATCCACATAATACAGGAGTTGTTTAAAGCTTTCTAGTGACGGTGCCCCAACTATGCTTAACTAGCTAACTCTATATTAGGGTTTTGTAACCCTAAATTAGGGTTACATAACCCTAAAGTAGGGTTTTGTAACCCTAAATTAGGGTTATGAAACCCTAAATTAGGGTTTTGTAACACTAAATTAGGGTTATGTAACCCTAAACTAGAGTTTTGTAACCCTAAATTAGGGTTTTGTTTGGCGAAGAAAATGTACGTATATTAATTAAGTGAATTGATAAGCGGCATTTAAAGCAGAAGAACGAATTATTTCAACCCGCGTTTATTACAGAAATGACAGCCGGTCGGCCTGAGGGTGTCAAATTTGCTTCAAATGAGGATGTCGAATTTAGGGTTACGCTAACCCTAATTTAAGGTCTTTATTATAAAATAATCAGAAGCCATAATCACACAAAGATGTTTTCTTTTAGGCAAAATACCCTTGTAAATACCATTGTGTCTGTTAGTAAACTTACCGCATAAAGAGACCATGTGCAGCCGTCTGCCAAAGATGTACAGCCCATCCCGCACTGAGCCAGGGTTGCCCAATGTAGTTGAAGATCGGCCCGGCCTGTCCAGTATGGTATACGTGGGCTAGTATGGTGTAGGCATACTGCACATCCAACTGCCCGTTGTTGGGAATGTCGATGTACGAATCTGAAGTTCCCGAAAACAGGAAAGCGCCGTCGCTGTTTCCGTATGGACCAGGGGCTAACTGGGTTCCCGTTGCTGTTCCGTCATTTCCGTTTCCCGTGGCGTCTGAGGAACCGTACTTCGCGTTCAAGGGCCAAACAGCCACCGGACCGGCTACATAACATCAATAACTGTATTTATAACTTACATCATTGTTTACCTTATTTCATTGTCATTAACTTATACCGTACATTATTTGATTATCCTTATTGTATTATTTCCATTTTCTAATGTATTATTTCCATTTATTGATTATATTTAATGTTGTATAGTTTAGAGGAGGAGCGCCTTGTATAAGAATTCCATGCTTCTCTCCTCCTCCTGCACCTGTTTTATCCTTGTTTTGTATTATTATTGTATGTCTGTTTTGTTAATGTGCAAACTGATAAAATAAATAAAAAATAACACGCAAAAAGTTAGGGATTTTTACATCTCAGTGCACACATTATTGATGCAGAAAACGATGTCATGTAATGAGATAAATGAGTCAGATATTTTCCTGTTTTCATAAACTTGAAGGCGACTTACCTGTCGTCTTGCGTCTTAACTGGGCAAGACGCAGTTCGAAGGTTTGTTCCTTGTCGATGTCTTGGTCATGCTTCAAGGCGGCAACAGTGGTGGACAAGTCGTCTTGGTCACGCTTCAAGGCGGCAACCGTGGTGGGCAAGTCGTCTTGGTCACGCTTCAAGGCGGCAACCGTGGTGGGCAAGTCGTCTTGGTCACGCTTCAAGGCGGCAACCGTGGTGGGCAAGTCGTCTTGGTCATGCTTCAAGGCGGCAACAGTGGTGGACAAATCTTGGCCCCGCTTCAAGGCGTCAGTTGTAGTGGACAGTTGGGATACATCCTTTAAAAAAGTACATGTACGTTAGAGTACCGAACTAGGGAAAACAATTACAAGTTCTGTCTTGATAGGCCCATGCTTACTTAAAACGCCAGCAAACACAAGACATTTTTAATGATACATATTGCACGAATTAGAATGCACGAATAGATTACTTTTATTATTTTTTATCTCTATTTTTAATTTTTGAAAATATTTCTCAATCGTTTTTTTATTTCTATCTTGCATTTTATTTGTTATTTCTTGTGGTTTATTATTCTATTTTCATTTTTTTATTTTTTTATTTTTTTATTCTTTTTTAATTTTCTATTTTTTTCAGCATGGTTGAAATGACCAGGTACAAGAGTGCGTACCTCTTTGCCGATGAACGTCACAGAGGCGAGTCCCACACAGACCATGCATAACAGCCCGGCGATGCCGGCGGCCACGCACCAGCGGTACCGGTTGGCGCGGATGACGTTACGTAGACCTCGGCGGCCTCTTGCTCCACCCGGAACCGCACGGTCTTGTAAAACAATCATCACCCTATCATTACATTCACGACTCTACATGTTAATGAATTAATAAACAAACTAGAAAGGTAACATTTGCAAAGCAAATGCATAATGTTTACCTTCGCATATGGTCTGCTCTGTTAATTCTTACACATATTCATTTATATATATATGTGGTCAGTCAGGAGTATAAATTCCTCCTACTGATAAAATTGCAACATCATGCAACCCAACATCAGTTACCATGGTGACGTCAACAAATCAGGCCATTGGCCAGGTCAGTGTTTAGAACGAAAGAAGAAGAGGAGGAGGAAATGTAGCAAAAATAATATGTTTCCCTTCGGTAAACATAAAAAGAGATCGACAAACCTATACCTCCGTGAAATATATTTATAGCGCTTGTAAATATTATCCCAATGCCTCCACATTTACATAATTTATGCATGGTGATGTTAACCATTGAACACACGTCACTAGTTTGAATATCCCATCATTTACAAGTTTGCAGTACAGTATCAACAAGAAACATGTCAGCCATCGCATCATTTGTCGAAGGTATGGGATCGTGGAAGTCTAGTATGAATATTGAAACTAGCAGACGATTATGATTTTTAGATATGCGTCTAACTTACATTGTTATCAACATGCCAAATACTGGACTGTAAGTGATAATAAATATGCTAGAATAACTTGCAATTTTATTTTAGAAATGCCCATGGACTAAAATTTTCAATGATTAGTAAAAAGTGCAAGTCACAAAAGCGGTGGCTACCTGCAGACGTTGACGATGCGTAACGTCTCACCGCCTCGGCTTCTTCGTACGTGTCTGAAGACGATTCTTGGTCTTCTCGCTGCCTGTCAGAATCGCCGTTGCCATGGCAGGCACGCCCGCGTGAACCACTCTGACGGACGGGACGGGGTTGGGGCGGCGCCCCGCTGGTTTGACCGCGGCTATGGCCTGAGTGAGGCAACCGGACAGGCTCTGCTTGCTCGTACACGGACATTTCAATTGTACTGTGCAGGCGACGAAAACGCAGTACAACGTTCCCCCAGCGTTTAATTGCATGAATATGGACAACATGCCACGATTACACCTTTGCCCATATTTGGCGGGATCACATAGTATAAGACGTTCAGGCATGTTGTTTATCAGCAAGTGGCAGACTAATTTTCAAGGTGAATGATCGAAGGTAGAAACACCAGAGAAGTCTGTAAAGATCTCTTAATGTAGTGGATTTATCACCGTATTTTCCTTGAAATATGGTAGACCCGTCTTACACTGCCCGAATTTCGAAATCCTATCATTAAACCATCTTTAAAATATGCGTTAAGGTGCATGTACACGCAAAGGAGGAAAGGGTTTGTCGTTTTACGCTAATCTCTAAGCAGATTCTGTGGGGCAAGGGGAGACAATATTGGCTGCCGGCCTGTATCCAATGGCCTCCTGTAACCATGATCGTGTACATATGGCGACCAATTGTTACAGGAGGCCATAGGAAACAGGTGACCAATATAGACTCTCCCTAGCCTCTACCAGGCTTGGGGACTCGGGCGCCTGGAAAGAGTAGAAATCGGCCAAATAGAGAGATAAGCATGCCAAAAAAAAAAAGCAAGGGAGTTTGTCCGTTGAGAGAACATTTCGCCTCACCCCATTTGTCCGATTTCTACTCTTTCCAGCCGCCTCCCCAAGCCTGGTAGAGGCTAGACTCTCCCTGTCCCACAGAATCTGCTTGGAGATTAGTTTTAGGCCATGCATCGTGGTATGAGCTCTTTACCTTGTCTGCACTTCGAATGAGATATGCTAGGGGACGCAAATGCCTGCTATCACATATTCAGTCTTATGCAATTTGTGTGTGCTCCGTTAGTGGCGCTTTTCAATGTTCGGTAGCCGTATTTTGGCCAATTTTCAAGATGCCAATTTTCCATTTTCTCGACCATTTTATATTGCCTCTCCCACAAGACTACCTTATATTGCCATGTATCGTCTAAAGATAGTAATGCATGGTGATTCCGATTGGGAAATCAGAACGTTTACTCATTGTTCTGGTTTTTTTTTTCTGACACTCAAAATATCCCAACCTGTCGCTAAGAGACAGAGAATTACCGATCTTTCCTCCCAATTACAGTGACCGTTACGCGTAATAGTCGTCCACTATGATTATTTTGGGCCCAAACTGACAAAATGATAACAGGAATATAAATCACCATACATAAGCCTAATAACATCTAAACGCCTGTGATATCAATGTACATTGAATTTAAGGTTATAATCTGCCTTATTTTGGAACTAATGTAACAATAATGGTCTTTCCCGACTCTTCACGCCTTCAAGATACCGCTGATTGGTTGAGACGCGTGTAGGTTCTGCCATATTTGGCACAATGGAGTGCGTTGATTGGTCAAGGAATGACACTCCGTCGACGCTGATTGGCTAGTTTGACTCATTGATAGGTTTCTACTTTCAGCCTTATTCCGTGAGCTATCCCAAAGTTGAGCTGCCTTTTGACAGTAAACATGTGTCATGCCATCTATCAGAAACCCTGCTGTTGCGGCTATTTTGTCTTCTGCTAAAAGATGACTACATGAACCTGCTTGCTGAGAGATCTAGAAACATTTCTGTGAGGGGAGAATCTCGTCCCAAGAGAGAGAGGAGGGGAAAATCTGGTGAGAGGTCGCCTGTCACTGAACCGGGACGTACGGACAGATTTTTGGCGGGAAAATCTAGCAGGAATTTCCTCAGTCGCAGACGATAGAAAAGACATATGTATTATTTTCACCGCGCAGTCGTCTGCTGTGATATTTTCTGACAGAGAAAAGGTGTCAGACGGTGTGGGGAACCTTTTCCTGACCAGAAGACGTGGGCTTTGACAAGGTTTGACAAGCTGGGAGCAAGGCAAGGCGTCGTCTGCAACAGTGTCGGCGCTAAACTTGCACCGCAGGCGTGAGGCGACAAGTTCCAGGTCCCGTTATCAGGTACTGTACACAAACAATGTCGCTCAAGAACAGTCCGTGTACGTGTGGCCAGCATTTCTCTCTAGTTTCCTCTACAACGTGCGGTGGAATTTTACCGCTATAGATTTATCTAATACAAACTCCTGAGGCAAAAAAAAAAAAACTCTCGTACGTTCAGTCAAGATGAAACGCAGCGATAACGTAGAGATGGGTCCCATCAAGTGCACGAACGCCAGCGGGGATTTTGCGTCCGGGCAGCGGCGGCCCAACGCTGACCCCGGCCCCCGTCCAAGCGTCTCCGCCGCTTCGCAAGCCCCTTTCGGCGCCGAGGGAGACGACAGGGGTGACCGAGGAGACCGACACGTGCACACGCACATCCGCATGAAGTACAGCAACTTGTACCCAAACAAACCCGTGGTCAGGACTAGCTTCCAGGGAAAGGTCTACAATTTCCTGGAAAGACCGACTGGCTGGAAGTGCTTCGTCTACCATTTCACTGTGTAAGTACTTTTGAATTGTTTTGATAGAAAGTTTATTGCAAAATACACTTTAACATTTGACAATACCTTGTTGTAAGGTCTATTGTGACATTTCCTACTATCTTGGTCTATGATATATTGTAGACAATGTAGATCTTAATAGATAATGAATATGACTTCACTATAAATCATATTTTATGGTTCTGAATCGGCAACACTCTACTCTACTCTACTCTTTAACATTTTGACAAAACATTGTTGCAAGGACGTTATATCAAGCTCCTTGTTTGAAGCTCCTTGATTGTTGTAAGGTCTATTGTGACGTTTTTCTACTATCTTGGGCCTATGAGATATAAGAAAGTTGACCTTGACAGATATTGAATATGTCACTACACTATCAATCATATTTTATAAAATCAATCTATCATGTTTTATGAAATATTAAATGTAGAACATCCTTTGCTAGAAATTCATAGTACTTAGAATATCAAGGAATATCAGGTCTGTCCTCATAATTTGATGTACCTCATGTTGCTTGTTTTGTTTGTTTCTTAGTAATGTACCGTAACGTTATAACAGAAAAATAATTTACCGTAAAGCATTGCTAGTTGGCCACCTTTTGATAACTTGTCTGCCTACAACATGAGATATATGATACTGCCTCAGAATTATATCAATAACAATACTTGGGGGATGCCCTTTCAGTGAATTAATTTTTCATAATGAAGAATATTGTGAGTAACACTGTCATGTTGAGCACAAAGATTTTTTTCCTCATCTATGTTTTCTGATTTAAATTGAATCAAATCCTTATTTTTGTACAGCTTTTTTTCACAATTGTGTAGCCAAATACTGAAATTGGAGTCCTGTGTTATGAATATGATTTAAGATGTTTATTTCATAGCAATTTTGTATTATGTTCTCTTGCCCTTAAGTTGATATATTCATTACAGTTGAATATACCGACTTACATGTAAATAGAATGACCGTGAATATGTCTTCCATATGTTTAAATGTCAGATCTGACTTGACTTGTCCTCTTCTGATCCCAAGCTAATATACTGTGCCTTCTTGGATTTGGATGAAATGACATTAGGATGGTTTCAGGCCAAAATCTATGGCGAACAGCATAAATGTGCATTTTGTACATTAAGGTGGTTTATGTTGCTACCTACGGGGCTTACATTGGCAAATCCATACATTTTTGCATTGTGCACATTAAGATATTTTCTTGCTTACTTCTGGAATCATAAATTTAAGTCTTTAGAGTGCACTAGATTACGTAAAAAGTTAAAATCATGAATACTTAATCATCTGGACTTGATGCAATGAAAATTTTATGGCCATTGTATGTTCAGTCTGAGACTACTGAGTATAGGAAACAACCGTAAATCAAATTGAAAAGAACCCAAAAGAACCCTTACTCCCAGCAGGAATCGAACCCACACCCAACCCAATGCCCTAACTACTAATGGCCATAAGGTCTGGACCCATCAGTTGGTAGCACTGACTTACACTATTCCCTATTGAATCGTACTCGAATCTGAAACACATGGAAACAACAGTGAGTAGAAAGAACCCTGACTACCAGTGGGAATCAAGCCCAGGCTTAATGCAGCGCCCTAACCGCTAGGCCAAAAGGTCTGCGGACCTGTCAGATGAGTCAGTTGGTAGCGCTGTTTCACTTTGTTCTTAGTCTCAAGCTATCCACTCATGCTAGGATCTTTCCACTGCTTTAATGAATTGAAAGATGCTTTTGATCTTGGATCTCTGTGTATGATTGTACAGTGACTTTGTTATCCAGTGGGTGGATAATGATGGCCTAACCGCTAGGCCAAAAGGTCCAGACATGTCAGACAAGCTTAGATCTTTCCAGTGCTCTGATGAATTGAAAGATGCTTTTTTTTTCACCTCTTGATCTTACTGATCTCCCTGCGTATGATTGTACAGTGACTTTGTTATCCAGTGGGTGGGTAATGATGCAATAGCGTCAATCGTTGCCCCTGATTAATTGAGACAGGCAGCAATTATAGAGCTCAGGGGACTTTCCACACGTCTCCCCTGCACAGACCAATTAAGACAGAGTGTCCGTACCTGTTAACGTGCAAATAATCCTTCAAAGGTCACTGCCCTGGTGACTTAACACTGAATAAACAACATCGAATCCATTTAGCTGTTGGCAATTACATGTATATAGATATCTTCAATACAATTGCAGTGCCTGAGAATAATGGTGGGTCCAGATGGCCAGAAGAAATCTATAGAAAGGGTTATGGTAAAGTGTACTGCAAAAAGAAATATTAGATACGATGGGTGTATAGCAAGAAGAAGAATGGTATTTATAGAATGGATATTAATTCATATGTGTTGATTTAACGGTTGAAGACAGCAATGTATAGTAATACCCATCTTTTCTAAGCAAAATCAAGAAACCAAGACTGTATCGTTTTGAAATCTTCTTATACATTTAAGTTATACAATAAAACCTGCATGCCTGACACTCATATAACACATAGATTCGTGACATATAGAAAAAAATGAAATGCAGATAATGATTAATATGTAGAATTCATAAATGTCGCCTACCAGTTACAACAGTTATTCAAATCAATTTCTAGGTGATAACTTCATGTGTCAGCCTCTTGACAGCATCTAATGCTTTATTGAACCCTAATAAGAATGTATGAATCTGGAGTGTTGAGATTGATGTGAGTGTGAAGATACCTCTTACCCCCTAGGGTAGAATCACATGTGTTAATGGTATCGACTCACACCTGTTAAGGTCTGTATCTCACAGTCTATGTGGCTGAGGTGCTAATGTGACTACCCACTTAACACATGTAGTTTTTCTGACTTTAGGGTGGCTTCACTTATATCAGGGGTCGAAATTCATTTTTCTAATACTAGTAATAGGTGCACTGGTGCAACTAACAAGAAAAATTAGGTGCACCAAATATAGTTTGGGTGCGCCTGCACAACATCAAACTAAAGTAAGATATTAGCAATGCCAAATTACCAATGTTACTGCTTCTCTTCTGAACTTAAGGTCTAACTTCAAAATTTCAAACAAGTAGTGTACTAAATAAAAGGGTTTTTAATCATTTTTTTAAAATTTGATTTTAACATACCATTCTCCTTCTGCTGTTTCTGTGTGACCGACAATCGCGTGTTGCAATGTATATGATAATCAACCTGAACCCTGACCTCTTGATATTGCGAACCAAAAGCTTGACTTTGCACTGAAGCTACTACCAGAGCAGAATTTTCACAGTGTTGGGAAAAACCCTTCATACAACCATTTCATAAATTATCCTAGCCACCATCCCAATATCGCCAGTCCTGATGTGGTGAAATTCGACGTGTTAAGTACCCCTTAATAGCCTCCTCTCACACCTGCAGGGCTGTATCTGTCTGTGTTCCATAGGTGCTAATGTCTGTCATTATATGGTACAGAGTGATACGTTATAGCACTAGATGGTCTCTTAAGGGAACTCTGTGCCGGTATGACCATCGGTATAGTGGTTTTAGAATGGGCAGGGATTCTCTGGCCATGTCAGATTTATTTCTGTGTGTCTGTGTGTTCGCTCGTATTTCTGTTACTTTATTTCCACATTGACAGTGACACTGTTACCAAATATGTTTGGCAAAACAGGCTGGTACCAGCAAAAAGCATGTGAGTGAGTGAGTGAGTGAGTGAGTGAGTGAGTGAGTGAGTGAGTGAGTGAGTGAGTGAGTGAGTGAGTGAGTGAGTGAGTGAGTGAGTGAGTGAGAGTGAGTGAGAGTGAATGAATACTGCCTACAGAAGCCATACAAAAGCTCATCTACTTCTATAAGATAACAGTTACCATTGGGAGGGAATTAAGATTTTACATTCCCATACAAAAGCTGAAAAGAATATTGTGTTTCGCAGTATATTGAAACAGGTCTTTTATTGAGAATCTAAACACTAGTACTATAATTACTAACAGGTGGGTACTTCCCATGACTTGCTCCAATGGAGTCCTAAGTAGTAATGATTGATGTTAGAACAATAATCGCCCTGCAACATATATTAATTGTACATGTCTGTTTAGGGGTTTAAGGAATAGCCCATTTCTCCTTGCCTCTTCAGGCTGTAAAAATGTCTGCTGTGCTGGACGCAGCGCACAGAAATCTTGTGATCTGAGTCAGCAAGTACGGGAAGATGTAGTGTTGGATGTCAGTTGGGTCCGTCAGGGCAATTTTTCATGCTACCCAGACTCTAGATAACCTGCGTGTTTTTCTGTATTAGTAGTCCCTGGTTTGAATCATGGAGCAATCTTCAAGTGAGATCAGGAGACTGAAAATGGCTCGGCATCTGCTTGGGGGTATAAATAGAACCTTGGTGTGGGCAAGTCATTAAACTTGAATCTAATGGAGCTGGACATGAATGTGTGTGTGGGTGGGCTCGAAATTCATTCTTGGGAACAGGTTACATCACACACACTCACTATCCTGTTTATCGTCTGTTGTTCCCAGACTTCTGAGGGTTAGACGTGCTTGCACAGCAATACTGCGGCTTGATGGCAGCCTGCCACTTGCCTCTATCCTGTGGGTATATACGTATGAAGTTGCACAGAAAAATGTTTGGTTGTACTTCATAGAATTAAGTAGAAACGCCGATAGGGAGGCCGATAGAAAAGTTTTTTCCTGCCCCTTTGCAACCAGCGTCCTTTCTTCCCACTAAATATCGTGCAGTCCCTAGCACAAGTACTGATTTACGTGGCCTTGCTTTTATACAGAGGTATTAGAGCATAAGATAAGAAAAGAAGATGAAAGCCCTGTCACAATTACGCTTTCATGTACAAAGGTTAATGATATAACAGCAATACCTAAAGATTATACACGGACAAAGAGTTTGGAAGCACAAAAGGTTAAGTACAATTGTTCTCAATTCCTCCTTTTGATACAATTCCCTATTCATAGTTTGGACATCAATAAATTATGTAACACCATATTTATAGACTTGTGAGATCGAAGTTGTGTCCATTTGTGATCATACT